GATAAAATTACTTGTCAAAAAACTTTATTTACAAAATTAAATTACATAAAATTATGAAGCTTATGTATACTTTTTGCTTATTTTAATGTTTGAAGTAATATGATTCTTAAAACTATGGAATGTAAAGTTTAAATAGGCCTTTCAGGTTATATCATTAAATTTAGTAAAACTATTTCTCAGGCATTAGGTTTTAACTCTAATAAGAAGATACATATTTTTTTCTGTTTATTTCCAAATATTTTTCCGTTGTGTGTTGGATGTTCCTTCTCTAAAAAAAGAGATACCATCTTGTTTTCGGTTGTATAAGAAAGGATATCAAATATTTTTCTTTTTTAAATTTAATAAGCCACATTAAAGAAGGAACGTTACAATGCTACACGCTACATTAAGGACGTCTCCAGAGTGAGGACGTCTCCTGAATGACGGTTCATATAGAAATCGCAGGTATGCGTCTCATACAACAACGCCCCCATATAGTTCGTTGCGATCGCGAATTAAGTAATTCTGGTGAATTTGAAGTGGAATATTTTTTTAAGTTATTTATCGATATATTGTTAAAAAAGGTAACATGGTAGCTAGATTTTGAATAACTCGCTCTTTTGTCATTCCTGAGCCTTTCCATTTGTTTATTACTGTTTGTTCTTGCTGCAAGCTGTGCACCATCTTACGTTAGTGTTGGCACCTTTAGCATTGTAAACACAAGTATTGTTAGCGTTGTAAACACAAGTAATAAGTAATGAAATACCACGTATGCAAGAATCTCAAAACACAATGATCACATCGTGAGCCAAATGGCTTTAAAATACAGGTTCTACAGAGTTTACTGGTGCAGAAAATACATCCATACAAAGATCTTCAAAGCTGGAAGCCCTTCTCTGTTCTCTTGGCTACCGCTTGATAAAAGTTTATTTTTTTGAGACTTGTTTATGTTTAATACAAACTTTAACCGCAAAATAAAAAACAAGAAATCCGAAGAGGGGAAAACAAAATTCCCTAAAATTCACATCACAAACATTCCGTTTAATAGATAATGTATTTTTAGTTTTTTTAAAAGAGAAATAAAGTGAAACTCATATAAGCATTATATTGGGAAAGGACAATTGGAGAGATCTGGTTGCAACATGGTATATAAGAAGAAACCACAATCTTTTGAAGGAGATATAAAGCATGAATATAGCTTTATATGGAAAATAAATAAGTTTTCTGAAGATTTTATGTCGTTAGAAAGTAAAGAAATGTGTCTTAAGCCTATGTGTATTAGTACTTGGAAAATTATTCTATACACTACAGAAGATAAAGAAACGTTAGAGTTTGCGCTACAACGTACTGACAACAGTTTGCATTCTGTGTCTGTTACTTGTAATGTTGTATTTCGTAATTCCAAAGAAACCCCTTTTGTCAGCAGGTCAGTGCAAGGGGTTTTCTCGATAGTTGATCAATTGAAATTCTGTGAAAAGCTGCTTGGAAGACCCACTTACACCAACGCAGTGAAAAATGACATGGGAGGTCAGTTTCGATTATGCAAAGACGATGCACTTGTAATCGAAGGCAAGATTACAACAACTGCTTGTTGCATGCATAACGAGCCTAAAGAAAATAGCCTAAATGAGCTTCATCGTTCTCTTGTTTTGTCTCATAAGGAAAAGCTTTTTACTGATGTGAATTTTATTGTCGGCGATGATATTATACCCGCTCATAAAAGTATACTTGCAGCAAGATCTCCTGTTTTTCGAACAATGCTTGAGGCTGATATGAGGGAAAAATCTGAAAATCGAATTGTAATTAATGACATTGAGAAGCCTGTTCTGGAAGCCTTCCTAACCTTTATATACACTGGATTTGTACAAACATCTGATGTCAGCTTAGTCTCACAGTTATATCCGGTTGCTGATAAGTATGACGTGCAGAATTTAAAAGATGTGTGTCAACATGTTTTATCTATGAATTTAAATGAGACTACAGCTTGTGAAATATTAAATTTAGCTGAAGTTCATAGTGACGAGAACTTAACGAATAGTGCTTTGAATTATTTAATTGATAATTTTGATGTTATTGAGCCTACTGAAGAATGGAAGAAATTTGTTAGAAACAATACTATTTTAGCTGCTTCTGTTGTGAGTAAAGTTGTTGCGAAAATGCGTGCTGCCAAATAAAATGTGAAAGTTATGACTGTGATAAATTTTAATGCTCAAATGTTGCATTAAAAGTGATGTTTATACCATTTTAAGAATTATTTCATTGTAGAATATTTTGTTTTATATTTTGATTAAGTTGTTAAAATTAAAAATGCTTTATAACTTAAAAAGTTTTGCATTTATCTTTTACACCCTTCGTTAAATCAGCTTAGTACAGCAGGTTAGTTTATTATTTTTGTTTATAATGCTTTATTTAGTATTTTGATGTAATGTTAATATTTTTTATAACAAGTTAACTATATAATTATGTGAATTTTTATAATGTCTGTACTAGATTATTAATTGCGGAGGTATATTATTTTGACAAAATAATGTATTTACTAATGATTTTGTTCTCCCTCAGATTGAGATTAAAAAAAAATACCTCCGCACTCAATTTAAAGTATCTTTAACTCTCAATATATTCTTTGAAAACAAATTGATTTTTTTCCAAGAACAGCAAAGATATTAAGCATTTTTCACTATCATGCATCAAAATATTATTTATTTTAGGAAAATAAATATCAGTAATTATCCATTAAAGTAAAATTACTATGGAAAAATCATTGTTTTTAAATTATATGCTCTTACAACCTACCTATAGTTACCTTACCAACCAACCTTTTCTATAGTTAAATGTATGTTTACTTATATTATTAAACTGTAATTGACGAAATATTATACAAATTATAGTACAAAAATAAAGGAGATAAAAGTAATAACAGTTTAAAAAAAAATTAAAAGGAAAGGGATTGTGTAATACATAATTGTTGGGATAACGGAATTTGTATTTATTAAAAATTGCGCTTTATACATTATTACTATTTCTTTTTTAAACTTAAATAATTACCATAAAATGGGGTAACTTTATGGGAGGCAAGGTAGATATTCGCTCCACATGTTTTCTGACTTTTCCAACCTGGTTACTGTTTCTAAGATAAGCTTTTCAAAAATTTTAGGCGAAGAATAAAATAATTATTTCATTAATAAAAAAAAAATCCAATAACCAAACACATGCTTTTAAAACCAACCGAAGTAAAAATTAAAAAGAAAATATCTTTATAAATAAATGCTCTCTCTATTTTATATTTCACATGTTAGAATAATGCAACAAAGTTTGCCGAGCTGCTTGGCAAATATTTTAATATGAAGCTTCTCGCGAGAAAAATTCATCATTTATATAAAAATAGAAATTATTTCTATCCAAAGTAATCAAAGTTTTGATTGGTACAAATAATTATTGGCATTTTTTCTCAGTGGAAAGAAACAGTTGTCGATATTTTAGGCAACTGTGATTTCTATAGCGCATGAGCAATTTATGGAGAAAGTTGAGGATACGGTTGACTTGCCGTTTTCGTTGCCAATAATTTTCATCAAGTGATATCCCATGTTACAACAATATCTTCATGCCTGTGTATATTATCTGTGTTCTTCTATATTTTTTTAAGTGAAAACATTTTTGGTAAATTTATAGAGTAGGCACTAATTTGATAAAAATTTGTTAACTGTTTGCGTTCGAGTTGTCGATTGATATATTTACTATTATTATTAATATGAAATATTAATTATTATATTTTAAGTATTTATTTGATATAAATATTTATTGTGGATTAAAATTTCAATTATTTGGTTCAAAAATGTATTTTAATAATTGTTAGAATGTTCTAGTTAAATCTTGTTATTTATGTTTTGATGTTGTTTGAACACCCTAAAACTTTTTGATAAATAAAAATTTAAGGCTTACTTCTTAAGTCAATTTTCATTTCAAGTCTATAAATTAGTTCTATCTTTTTTTCTTTTTTGAAAGAATTTAGATAAAATACTTTTTTGTAATTCAAAGTTAATAAAAATTTTTTTAAAAGTATTTTTTCCCCGAGAACCTTATAAATTTTAAAAAAAATTATAAAATTAAATACGTTCACTTTTTAATTTTGAAAGTTCGTTTTATTTGAAATAAATTAACTGAAAATCATCAAAATGTGGCAATTATTTTGACATAAATATTAGAAAGAAGTCGGATTATCTGAAAGTTGTCTTATTGCTCCTTTAATCAGCATGCTAGGCCTGTTTTGGATCTTTTAATCATGATTTAAACTGTCATAAACTTTTTTTATGTTTTTGCTGATTATAATTATAATTTGTTCTTCTGATTAACTTACACTGAAACGAAACACTGTAACATTTGAGATTTTTTTTATAAAAAAAATATAGTAAAGTTTCAATAAAGTAGTCAATTGGGACTAAAACTAACTTGAATTAAGCAAATTTTATTATCTTAAGTGGACACATTAAAACGTAATTGTAGTAAATAAGGATTCAATAAGTAAATAAAGAATTTACTTACAAAACTTTAATCATATATGTTAAGAAAGGTTGTTTACTCTTTCATTTTTTTATAGCTGCATTATCTTAGTATTTGAAAAATAAATCACAAGTTGTTAAAGCATCTGGTTTCTTCTATGTGTAATATCCCCGTGTCAGAATCACGGTGACATTGTCGCAGAACGTTACAGAGTTCTTGTAGAAAGAATTTTCTTTTAGAAAGTTAAAAAAAATTGGTTTTCTTTTCTACAAAATATTTCAAATTTTTTTCTCTCTAAAATGATATTTAAAAGATGCAATAAAGATAAGAAAAAGAAAATGAATGAAATAAAAATGAAAATATGACCACCGAAGCCGACGTGTTCAGGGGGTACCGGCACCGGTAGCCATAAAAACAAAACCATTTCTAATTGAGGGAGAAGCAAATGCTTAAATTAACTCCCTCAGTACCCCAATGGTTTTGCATAGAAGTCCAGGAAAAAAAACATGCAATATGAATAACAGATTAAGAAAAGAAACTCAAACAAAATCATCAGAAAAATAAAAACTCACATATTCACAGGTCAGACATCAATTTTTCAAGCAAGCCGAATGAGAAGAAAAAACTGAAACCTAAAGAAAGCAACGCCCTCTATTACAATGCACAAATGAAGAAAAAAAAGTGAAAAATGTCAAGAGAAAGAAATACGTAATAAATTAATAGAATGCTTAACTGGGGCTGCTCAGTTAAAACTTGAATTGCACCCTGTTAAAAGAAAAAAATATAAAAACCTAGAATTCTTCAATCATTTTTTTAATTAAAAAATTAACATTATAAAAATTAAAAGGAAAATCATTATTACTCAAATTATTTAAAAAACAATTTACAGCTTCCTGAAAACTTTCAACATTATTGCAAATACTTTTGATTCTAACCAATTGTGAAAAAACTAAATTTTTAAATATTTTACGAAAAATAAAAAATATTGAAGCAAAAAATTTCTTGTCTACTGAAATGTTTGAAAGAATTTTTAGCTCCACAATTATATTCGAAAGATGCTTTTTTCACGCATCAGAGGGGAAGAAATGCTCGTGATTTTTTTATTCTTATTTGGGGAAAAAAAAAATTTAGGTTTTCTTTTCTTTTACGGATTCTACGATTTTTAAATTTTTTTTTTTTTAATGTGATGATGATTTACGAAATTCGAAATAATTCGTGCGTTTTCCTCTTACAAAATTTGAGAATATCGCCCATGATATTAGAATTAAAAAAAATATTTAAAATTCATTTTATAAAAAAAATACATACAATTTTATTAAATCCAAATAGTTTTTTTCTTTTTTTGTAAATACAACATTTATGCTACTTTAAATTTAATTTATAACAGGTATATTAGTTATTATTTAAAGTATCTTGCAGGAAGATATTAGTGCTAGAGAGGTTTGTCGCAGAAAGACCAAAAAAATTCTGCTGCAGGGGTAATATCTAAAATTTATTTCTGAATGAGAAATTTTTAGGATCATCAATATTTGTGTATTGCCTTCCATATTACTTGAGTGGATTATTGCATCCCATCCTCAGTGATTCTTCCTTCATCCCTGGGTTAATTTTGAAACTTCATACATAATGTTAATTTCATTCTTATTTATTCATGTTTTCTTTCAGGTTCTTATCAATCAAAGTATACTTCTGTTTGGTTTAACTTCTGCATGATTTAACTTCATTTCAAGAGCATCACTGCAGTTGTTGTGCAGATGACTTATCACGTTTGATAATATTAATTGGAGCCGAGTTGATGTAAATGGTATTTTTGAGAAAGAGTATTTGCTTTTGTTTTAAGAAACTTACATGTTTTTGCAATTGTAAATTAAAATTTTTTACTTTTTTATGTGCATAAAAAGTTTAGGAATTGTTAATTTATGATTTACAAAGATTTAATTTATTTATGACATGTAATCAAGCTTATAGCATTTTTATTTTATATTCTATTATTTTTCAGGATAGATATTTTGTTGGAACAAAGAATTTAAAATTTTGCTTTTAAACACTTTGTATTCAGTTTATGCTATATTATTGAGCTGTTAGACTGCTGTTAAAATAAAATTATCAAAGTGCAGCATTTTACCCAGTATAATTTACTGTTTTTGGTACTGATCTATTTTATGGGGTCATAAAAAATTTTCTAATTTTATGGGTTACGATTATACCATAAAAAAGTATAATCAAATTTTGTCACAATATCCATTTTATCAATTTTTGTCTCTGTCAAAAATTTATAAAATTGATGTTGCTTTTGTGAATTACTAAACTATGATCAATATTATTAAAGTATCTTGATATTCAAAATAAATATAGATAAAATGTTTAAAAAATATCTAATTTTCATATTTTCTCATTGTGTTATCATAAATTCAAGTAGAATGAAAAATCTTTTTGATCCAAACAAGAACAATATTATTGTTAATAGTAATGATATTAACTTATATTGATATGTATAGTGTACAAAATAAAAGACAAACCACCCTGAGTAACTTTTGATCAAATGATCAGATCTTCGTATTATAAGACTCAATATTAATTGTTCAAGGGGATGATGTCAAATATGCTAATTAATTTCATGAGTCTGTCCATGGCAAATTTACTACAGTTTAGCAGTACCTTCACAAATTCAACTTAAGGAAAAAAAAGTTTCACAAAATACTTCTAAAAGAGCAAGCTCTTAGATCTATCCCCTCCCCCCCGCATCTTAAAATTTTGTAACCCTGCCTCTTAAAACGATAAACCCTAGGAAAAGAATTCGCTTCCCACACGATTTGTAAGAAGAGTGATTTGCCTCCTCGTGCCTGGCTAAAAGCATGCTTGGATCCTGAAACGCTGTGGGAGAAAAGGAGCATCAGCCACTCCGTTCCTTAATTGAAGTGGAAGAAAGTGCTCTAGTACTATACAAACCCCGTTCTTGTTGCAATCTATGGAGAAAAAAAAAGAGTTTTTCTGCCAACTGTCTTTTAAGAATAGATGGCACATGTTTGGTCAGATAGATTGGTGTGGTCGCCTACGTCATATTATAGAGAGCTTTTTTTTTGTGCAGAGTTTTTTAAAATGAAATCCCAAGGCTGTCCCTCTGTAAAGTTTACAGGAAGTTAAAGTTCAAACTATTATTTTAACCATTTTTCAAATTTATTCTACTAGACCTTTATTTTTTTGTGAAATTTTTTTCCTTCTCTTTGTGAAACTTTTTTTCTGTATGACCCAGTCAAAAATGTTCTCATAATGAAGATAGTTTTTAGTGCTAGTGCTGTTAAACATATGTTTTTATTAAATTCCAGTTGAAATTAAATTATGGACAATTGATTTTATGGATATTTAAATTTGGATAAAATTTTTTGCCCGAAATTTTACAGTTTTAAAATTGTTTTTGAGTTTATGGGAAAAATATGTTTAGAAATTTACTAGTCATAGATGATTTTTATTTGTAGTGACAAATTTTGAAAATATTTTCCTATTTTAACTTTTGTGTTGATTTTTCAATGTAAATTTTAATTTTCACAAATTATGTCTAAATTTTCATAAAACAGGTACCTCTTAAAAAAACCTTGACCCTTGAATTTGTGCAGATAATATTTTAAGTTGCAAAATTAGACCCAAAAGTGTACTTTCTCTGAATTTACATACCTTTTTTACCCCCGACAGAATCGGATTTCCAACCCCCAAAATTTAAGGTGCAGCTGCAATCTAGGAAAAATGGTCCTTATAGTTTTGCGAGGAGAATGTTCAAAGCTTGGGCCTTTAATGTTAATTTTTCTTTTTGCATATTCCACTATTGCGGCAATAATATTTTTTTCTGTTTAATATTTTAATAACCATTATTAATTTCTGTTTTAAACAGGAAAAAAAATGAATATACTATATTACAAAATTTTTACAGCTTTATCAGAACTAATTTCTAAAAAATTGATAAGCTTAAACTCCTTGAAAAAATTATATCTTTCACAGCCAATTTTGCTCAATTCTTTGGCGTGCGTGCAGTACAGTCTGGATGTTCCATCTCCCCCAAATATATTTTTAAAGCCCCCAAATTTTGTAATCTTCAATCAAATTTAGTTAAAATCGATAAAAAAAACAATAAATTATTATGTAGTTCTTCCTTTTCTTCCTCATAGCTGTCAATTCTACTGGAATTTCCAGTAGACTACTGAATTTTGTCAGTTTCTCCTGGTCTACTGCTTTAATGATAATTCTCCTGGGTTTTGTATATTTTAGAAAATTCCCTAAAAAAAAAATTCCCTAGTGAATCTCTTAAAAAAATTCCTGTTGAAATAGAATTTTCGTGCAGATTTTTGCTTGCTTGAATATTTAAATAAAAATGTATTACTAATATATAATGAAGGGAGCTTCATTTATAGAAATCAGTTTAATACTATTTTTTGTTCTAAAATGTTCAGTTTATTTTTTTTCAGAACTCCCTTTTTATAAATTAATTAAAAAAAAATTGTATGAATTAGATGCCTATTACAATTCAAACATAATACACAACATTTCAAGCATGTTTAATGAATGCCAATCATGATTGGATAATATTGCTATTTTTCTCTTTTTGATGACTATAAAAATCCCTAAAATTCCCTGTGTGTAAAATATTTAATACATAACACAACAATTGTCATGAAATTTATATTTCGTAACAATCTACTGGATTTTTTTCTTATCTATGTTGGCAGCTATGCTTCCTATTAAAATCTTTCTTCACTTGTTCGTTTTGGCCAATGTCAAGGTAATTAACGCCTTTAAGGATAATGGGAACAAAAAAAAAGAAAAGAAAAAGAAACTCGTGTTTCTTCTGTGTTTCTCGGAATTCAGGACCCTCTAGGAAATAACTTAATTGATTAGAGCAAATTTTTAGAAACGTTTAAGTCAAGCTTGAATGGGAAAAGTACAATATTTTTAAACTATTGAATTTTCCCATAGTGCTTAGAGCGGACAAGGGGGCATTTATTTTGAAGACAATTTTTATGGAATATGTTGGGGCCTCAACATTCTTTTAGTTTCATGATTCATCTTCTTTTTCCTGGACTTGAGATGCATTGGCAATGATTATGATTCCTGTACAGCTAAATATATTTGATTTGAAAAAAAGTTTTTAAGCTGTTTTCATCTAAAACTTTAGAAATGTGTTTCACTAATTGCTGCAACATCTCAAAATAATGAAATAATTTAATAATTGAAAATTTGTTACGTATCTATATTCATAAAGTTGTGCATTATCTATGTTCATAAATATTTTCACGAATTGAGAATTATTAATTGATTTTGATAATTTTTTACTAAGTAGAAAAATCTGGCCTAATCGGCCTATAACAAATTTTAAATTTGTTTAGTTATTTTTCCGTTCTAAAGCCCAAATATTTCTTTATGGTAAGGTAGTTAAAAACTTCTTTCAACCTCTAGAATAGAAAGAGTAGCAGAATTCGTTTAATATTTTAATAAAATTTCTTGTTATTGTGAACAAAATAATATTTAATCGGAGAAACCGGCAAAGCTAAAGACCTTTAAGTTTAATTGAATCTCAGAATTCAGTGGCAATATGGAATCTCACTCACTATAATATTGCTTAAACTCTTCAGAATGACTTTCTAGTCCACTTTCGATTAAACGTTTTCTCTACTATTAACAAATAAGATTTTAATGAAGATAATCTTAGACAGTTGGCCTTGGAAGTAATCAACACTATTCCCAAAAATGTAGGATTTTTACTAATGGCAGTAAAATCGCTGAACTTGCATCAAAGGCATCTTTATAGAAACATCTTGGAGAAAATTTACTCTGTCCACATATCACAGATCACTATTCTGTTTTCAAAAGCGAACTTCTAGCAATTAATAAAGTGCTTAAAACATCACTCACTGGAAAGAATTCGGATAAACTATGAATATTAGTAGACTGCCGTAGCTCTCTATAAAATCTTAGTAATTGGATCCTTGTAGGCAATAGAATCAGCCTCACTATACTGCAGAAAATACAGATCATTTCTTAGTTTGATTTGTATTTTTAGTAAATTCTTTCATGTGGTGGTAACAAAATGGCAGACAAACTTGCAAAAGAGGGCTGCTACCATCTAATTCCTTCCGCTTCTATAATCTATCAAGAATTATTCTTTATGAAAAAAAAAAAAGCGCAAATCAAGACTAAGTGGTTGGTGCCTTTATTGGTGTTAGGTAGACTGCCTAGAGTAAAAGAGTGTGGACAAGGGAGAAACGATTCCTGATTGGTGGAAAGAAAAACTTAATGCTGGAGACGAGAGTGGAAAATTCGCCATTGGAATAACGCGGAGTGAAAATGATCTGCTTCAAAAAAATTATGTTCTGCATTAATAAAGGCATGTAATAAGTTCATTATTTACTTTTTTTCAGTAAGAAACTTCACAGTTACAGTAAATGTAAAAATTATGGCTGAAAATTTGGATAGATATTAGTTATTTGAATTTATCCTTATTATTACTTGCGCGCATATAAAGTTTTGTTTATCTCATTGTAAAGAGAACAAGGTGATAAAATAACTAATGAGTTCATAAGAATAAATGTATTTACTTTTAATAAACAAAATTTCTATCTAAATTACCTATAAATTTTAAGATTTGAGCATCTTTTTATCTAAACTTCTGAAGTGCAGAGTTTGGTGCTATTACTTTGAAATGTTGACGCTTTACAATGTTCGCCAAGTAGCATTTGTTTACTTTTTGTTACCAACTTTATAAAATGCTAGTTTGTTTTAAATTTAAACTAATTATCAAAATTTTTGTTTGCAATTTGTTGAAATAAGCAATACCTTTTTAGGTGAATATGTGATAATTTTTTCCTGAAAAAGTAATAAATAATAATAAATTATGTAATTTGTTTTGTTAATTATTATTTCTGAAATGAATAACATAATCACTATTAATTTTTATATTTTATTTATGGCATTTATTTAAAGCTGAAGTCTCTTCATCAGTCTTTTTTTTTCATTGAATTTAATTTTTTAACAATGTGAGATGCTAATTTTTCTTACAATGTTTATTAAAAAATCTGTAATATCATGTGCTTTCCAATCTTAAAGTTTATATTATTGATACTTTAGTATATACTCTTAGAATAACAGAACCTTCAGAATAACACCAAATGAGCGAGTGGCGCCAATTTCGGTGTATCATCTGGCAACCCCCTTGGACAAAAATCTGACGGCAGCGCATGCGCTCTTGGATATTGTCATCACTCTTTTCAATACAGGCACTCTAACAGAATCAGTCATCTATC